GGATCTTCCAAGTCACTTCCTCATAATGATACCTTCTAGAATCTACTAAACAGCACACCACTCGCATTAAAACGCTTCTTAGGCTCTCTTAGGATTCCCTCCTCACCCTGCTATCAGCTGTTGAAGGACCCCTATCGATGTCAGCTAACTACTTCAAGAATAAAGTTACATGCAACAAAACCTAAATATTCCTTCGACTAAAAGACCCAACCCTACAACAGTTAGACTCAAATGATAGTTGCACAATAGGACTAGATCAATTACGTACTTTGAGATTATTTAACTTTTGCAACATGTAACTTAACATATTCATGCAATAATTAACTCACATCAATAAGAGTCATACAAAGGACAAGGCAAGTAACATTCGAGCATCTACAACTAAAAGCATTGCACAATCAGGCAGTCCTATCTCAGAAGCTCCTAAAGATCTCTACTCAATAGCATGCATCACTACCAGTTCACACAACAGGCATAAGGAATCTCTCCTAATCAGGCATCCTACCTTGCAACACTAAGTAGATCCTTGGCCTCAATCTAGCATGCAATTCTTATATACTCATATCAAACATCGATCATAAAACACGTATAGGTATTTTAGGAAATACTTACTTGAGCGCGGCTGATTGCACGCATCGCACCCCCTTTTATCTTAAAAACGTTTTTAGAAAATTGTTTTCTTTTAGAAAGTTTTACCAATTACTCAGTTTGAGTTCAGGCACACCCGAGAGCATGCCCGAATCCCTCAAACCAAGGCTCTAATACCAAATTGTAACGCCTCGAATTTCAACCCAAAATTTTCATTTAAATTTTTTTGTGTTTATTCAAATTTACAACTACGAAAATCTTAGATAAAGCCATTTAACTCAAAACATTTATCAGGGTATCGTCAAAAGTTATCATGCGCACAAATCTCACATGGATGCGATGCAACGACTCGTGCCCCTCCTTCAATATAAGAAACCTTGAAAACATTTAAACCATAAATCGTAAACATAAAGCTTAGTGAGTTCCTCAAATACCACATACAACACAACAAAAAATAAAAAAACTATGGTTTATCAGCAACCCTGGAGACTACCCGAAGTCCCAGTGGGCAAACAACATCCTTTGTGGGTTATCAACAACCTTGGAGACTACCCGAAGTCTCAATGGGCAAACAACACGTCATGTGGGTTATCAACAACCCTAGAGACTACCCGAAGTCTCAGTACTCACACTAGCACATATCAAATAAACCATCAAATAAGACCCAGTTGGTTAGCACATATATACTACCATACATGCACGTATAGTGAGAAGACTCACCTCGCACAGAAGGCTGATAAACTCACACCCGGATTGTCGAAACAAGACTCCGCCTATTAATTGCACCAAATAACCTTAATTAGCAATTAAGGTAATTATTCAAACTCAACTAGTCCCAAACCAAGTCTAATCCACAATTTAGGCAAAAGACCAGTTTGCCCCTTCTAGGACCAAAACCCTCACTGTAACATCCGGATACCCAGGTATCTTATTTTAAGTATTTTGTTGAATTTTAGAAAGGGACTCGGCGAGTAGGAGCTCAGACTCGCCGAGTGGAATCGCGCTTCTGCCAGCCTGGATTTAATGAAGGGACTCGGCGAGTCCATGCGTGGACTCGGCGAGTCCGCACTGTTAAATGAAGCCTTAATTTTCGGGGTTTGTGCCCTATTTAAAGGCCCTTATGGCCGTCATTTGAGGCCACCTTGTTCCAGAGAAACCCTAGAGAGAGTGAGGAAGGCTTGAGTGCAAGAAAGGGCTTATAATCTTCATTTTGGGGTGATTTTTGCTAGAGAAAGAAGAGAGGATCCATCTAGAACGTGAAGGGAGCTTGGATTGGAGCTAATCATCTTGAGATATTGTCTCTGGAGGTATAATCCCTTCTATTTCGTATTGATATGATAGATTTCATGATTTTAGGGTTTTTACCTCCCTTTTTATAAGATCTAGTGAGTATGAGGTCCCTTTTGTGTTGATGATATCAGATCTGGACCTTGAGAGGTCCATAGAGTCACTACCTTCTAGCTTTTTGCAAGCAAATAAGCAATTGGAGACTAGGTTGCCATTTCTAGTGATATTTCTCCATTTGAGGCTTGATATGGGTTGCATGCACGTAAAGGTTGCACCTTTATGTGACTTTTGAATGTTAGAAGGATGGATCTACTGTTTGGTGAAGCAGATCTGACCTCAAGAGATCTTTTGAGAGTTTTCATGGGAGGAACTCGCCGAGTCCATAAGGGACTCGACGAGTCGAGTCGGGTTGCCCCGTGACTCGCGATCCGTAACGACCCGGGGAGTATAGGGTTGACTCAGTGAGTCAAGTGAGGACCAGGGACGAGGAGGCAGGCATGTACTCGCCGAGTCACTCTAGTGCACTCGGCGAGTCTGGTCAATGTTGACTGTTGACTTCTGTTGACTTTTAGGGATTAGTCAGTGTTTGGACTTATGAGCCATTAGAGGGGCAGAATGGTCTTTTACCCTTCTTAGAGAACTTATAGAGAGGAGTTGGCCTAGCCTTTAGAAGTTGTATTAATTAGAGAATTTATTTATGTGATTAGGTGAAGGCTAGTGCAGTATTTCAGAGTTCGAGGTTTACCAAGTTACTCGAGGTGAGTCTTCTCACTATACTTTACCTAGGGTGGTAATTAGAGTTATGTGACAGAGCATTTTGTATGCTTTTGCATGATGTGATTTCTATGTGATTTATGCTATGTATGTTACAGAGTTTACAGAGTTAGGACCGGAAGGTCCACAGAGTTAGGGCCAGAGGGCCCACAGAGTTATGGGACTGGAGGGTCCCACTGAGACACATTGACCAGAGGGTCAAACAGAGTTATAGCCTCGAGTGGCTAATATGTGTTGTGTGTGGTATTTTGGGGAACTCACTAAGCATTTATGCTTACAGTGTTTTGTGTTATGTGTTTCAGGTACTAGTGAGGATCGCGGGAAGGCGTCGGCATGATCAGTACACACTATTGGAGTTTTATACATTATGATATTGGGATGTGTTTTTATGGATTTGATATGTGATACATTGGGATTCGAGAATATTTATGAATGAAATTATATTTTAAAAAGTGAAAAATTGTTTTGAAATTTACGGTGTTACACTCACCAATTGGCCAAAAATCACATTTGGTCAAAAAGTCAAAAGTCAACACTATTGACTTTTACACGCGACATACCAAGGATTTATGTTGGACATAGAGCACAACACCAGAAAATGGGTTCCTAACTGACTACGTTGGGTGTAGCCAAATTTATGCTCAACGTACTGGGCCTAAACTCAAACCCCATCTTTTAAGCTCTTAATCATTAAGACACTTTTCCCCAACCTCAGATCTGACCCTAAAAGGAATTCTAATCCACAAAGTCTCCAACTTTATGCCTATGCATGGTTAACGAGAGCTTAATCCCAAAACTCCAACTTCTAACATCACCAAAAACTCCACAACTAATTCATGGGTGAAAGGAAAGGACCAAACTTGCATTTTTATGACACCAAACACTTATAAACGTATGAAATGACAACTCAAATGGTCTAGAGTAGTCCATACTCACAAACACCAAGGTTTTGGGACAAAAAGCTCATAAAACCCAATACTAGCTAGATCTAACAAGTGAATCATCAAGTTTCAAACTTTATACCTTTTTGAGTTAAGAAAAGCAATGGAGGCTTTGAATCCATAAGCTTAAGCTTCAACAATCAACAAGCGTGGACTTCTCTTTCTTCTAAAAATGCACCCAAAACACACAAAAAGGCTTAATATTTTCTCTAGGGGGCTAGGGTTTCGATTAGGAGGCTTAAGAGGGTGGAGGTTGATGTTAGGAAGGACCCCAAGGGGTTAGAGTCCTTAAATAGGGCTCAAAACCACAAAACTAGGGTTTTGTCACTACGGCGGTACGCCTTGCATACCTTTTGTTACACCCACAGTAACCTAAAAAAACGCGACTTCCCTCAGCCAGTACGCCAAACGTACTCCTGATGTACACCCAACGTACTGTCAGACTCCCTTTTCTAGCTTAACTTCAAACAGTCATAATTTTTTTGTTTCAACTCCGTTTTCGATGATCTTTATATCCACGGAAAGGTATCGACGAGCTCTATAATTCTATCTTGACACATATGAATAAATACATCTTGAACTAAAATCCTTAATTTATGCAAGAAGCCTAAAACATAACCTTTCATATTTTACCCCTCAGCTTCCATTGAACAATCCAAGGTTAGATCACTTATCGAACATCATACACCTCCAATATAGTCTAAACTCCGTTCCATTGAAGCCCAAGATCTTTACATGGTCACTTTACGACCCTCTAATCCTAAATTAAGAAACGTCCTCAAACAGGATGTTACACTTTTTCTCGCATTTACACTACTATGTGAATGATTTGGAAGGCGATGAATTCTTTGGTTTTCCGAAATGAGATGCGAGCTGCTTTAGCTGTGGAGGATGATATTAGTATTAACACCTTTAATTGGATTAAGAATAGACCTAATTTAAATAATTATGATTGATATGATTGGTGTATGTCTTCCTTTTTGAACCTTCCTTATAATTTTCCTTGAGCTTATGGCTTAAGTTTTTTTTTGCTAATATATTGCTTGCCATTCAAAAAATATATATAAATAAGTTTACCTTTTCAACACGCAAATGGTAAAATATATTACAAACTTACCATGAAACCAACTACTTAATTAAAAGTTAATTAATTAAACTTATTATAAAAGAAAAGGTTTGAAATATATGCATATAAAACAAAATGTAACATCATTACCCGTAAATAAATACATTAGTGAAAACTCTGTTATATTTAATCTTTCATATATAATCATATTGACTACGAATACCACGAAAAGGAGAAATTAACCAAAATCAAGAAAGCCAATTGAATTCTTCCGAATGACGCAGGTGACTAGAAGTCATTTGAAATGGTTTGTGATTTGAAACGGTATGATGCTGTCATATCAACTATTCCTCCTTCAGACGACGGTGACGATAGCGGCGAGCAATAGACTTATAGTCTTCTAAATTCGGAAAACTAAACAAATCAGTTTCATCGTTCGCATGGCCGTTTGCATTCAGACCTAACCACATCGCCAGTGCCTCATCGCCTGTGGACGATACTTCCTTGCCGGTGGACTGTACATCTTTGACGATGGATGATGCCGATTGGTGGGTCTCTGAATTCTTACCGAAAAGGTCACTGTTGAGTTTCTCCGAAACGTCTTTGTAATCTTTTTTGGCTCGTCTACCTACGCTGTTGCGCTTCGGTGGTTGTCCATTGCTATCTATTTTTTCACTGCCAGAAGGTTGAGAAACGAAGGTTTGATTCACAGCTTCAACAGACGATGGTTGTACATTGTTACTATATATTTCATCGTTGCCAGAAGCTTGAGACCCGACGGTTTGACAAACAGCTCCGACAGAAGGTGCTTGCCCATAAGTACTATATGTCTGATCGCTGCCAGAAAGCTGAGAAACAAAAGTTTGTCTCACATCTCCAACCGGTGGTTGTACATAACTATATGGCTGATAGTTGCTGGCAGCTTGAGAAACGACGGTTGGCCAAACAGCTCCAGAAGATGGTGCTTGTCCATGACTACTAAATCTCTGATCGCTGCCGGAGAATTGAGACACAAAGGTTTCCATCGGAGCTCCGGTAGAAGGTGGTTGTAAATAACTATATATCTGATTGTTGCTGTAAGCTTGAGAAACAATGGTTTGCCCAACAGCTCCAACAGACACGGCTTGTGCATAAGTACTATATGTCAGATTGCTACCGGAAAGTTGAGAAACAAAGGTTTGGCTCACAACTCCAAGAGACGGTGGTTGATCTAACCCAGGGCTGACAGACCCGCCTTGAAACTGATTAAGCGAATTCCATTGGCCATAGCTGAGATACGAGTATGACAGAGGTTGTCCATGGATATTAGTAGCCATCTGATAGTAACTTGAATAATTTATCGCCGCCGGTGAAAAAGATGGATGTCCGTTGCTGGGATACATCTTGCAGAAGGGTGTTGGGTTAGCATTCGAGATGGTGCATTAAATAAACAATACGACTACATTGCCCCTAGAAGGAAACTGGATGAAAGAAGAAACATGTTTGAAGCGCTCAACGTCAACGCATAATAAATACATAAAAATTGTCGTTTGATTATAACAGTTATAATAAAGAATGATATTTTGTTCTTTTAAAATATTCGGTAAGGAATCGGCATTTTATTCGTATTGGAGAGAATAATGCGGGAGGAAGTGGTGTTACCCTTGTCACAGTTTACGTAGATTTTATCTAATATTTGCCAGTGGTGTTACGCTTGTCACAGTTTATGTAGATTTTATCTAATATTTGCCACACTACATCAATATTTTACCATTTACATGGCGTGAGTTGCCACCTTTGATATGCTAATTTTTTTTTCAAAAAGAAATTAAATAAAAAATCAATATACACATAATATTTTAATAAACTCTTAAATTTCATTAACTTATGGTACACAATAAGCTTAAAAAACATAATATACTTGAAATTAAAATTATGGAAAATGATACAAATACCCTACGAACTATCTAGTATTGATTATTTTAGTCCCCAAACTATTTCGTGACTTTATAAGGGAACAAAGTCGTGAGCAACCTGTATTTTTAGTCTTGTTACCTAAACTAACATGTAGAGATGCCACATGACACATATAAAAGCTGATTTTACTAATTTTAAAATCCAAGTCGGCCAAATAGTCAAACTTAAAAGTCAAGTAAGCCAAACTTCCCCGTCTTGTATCCTTCAACGTTTTACACGATCAATTCCTAGTAACATTATTCCGGAAGAAATTCAATAAGAATTTGCGTACAAAATCCGGACAAACATAATGATTGATTTGTCTTAAATATGGAAAAACATTAACCATGTGATTTCTAAAAGCTTTCAAGACCTCATTAACAATGGCATCTAGTAAATTGATTTGTAAACAAATTGTCAAACAACTCCAAAGCTTTTTTTTCATCCTTTTGTGTATCATGTACTTCTTCCTTGAGGGTAAAACTGTCCACATCACGAAAAATCACCCAAAAGATAGAATAAAACCAACTTGGCTTAACATCACCATTTGGCTAATGAGTAATAAGTTATCATGAAACTTGAGGATTCTAAAAAAGTCCATGGCTACTTCTTGAGATTGAGTTACAGAGGTGAAATTGAATTGACTCACAAAGTAATCTACATCTACAGCAAGTGTGGAAGCATGGTAGACGCACGCCGAATGTTCAATCATATGTCTAACAAACGAATGGACACTTTGCATCCGATAAAAAAATGGGTATGCATCAAACGGATTGGGAGGTGATGGATTGGAAATGTTTGAACATATGAGAAACCATGTATTACAACCAAACGAAGAAACCTTCCTTGTTGTTCTTGAATCTTTTGCAGGTGCTGAAAGCCATTGAAGAAGGATTCATACACTTTGAATCAATGCAAAAAGAATATAGAATTTCCCTAAAAATCGATCATTATTTGGGGGTTTTAGCCATTTCTAGGAAATCTGGACACCTTGATCAAGCTTTGGAGTACATTCTGACATTACCGTTTGAACCCACATCAGAAATTTGGGAAGCTGTAATGAACTATGCTCGAATCCATGGAGATATCGATCCTAATGATAGAGCCGAAGAGATCTTAATCAACATTGATCCATCAAATATTGATCTAAAAAAGATTCCAACACCACTTCCTAAGAAATTTCCTACCATTAACATGCTTGAAGGTAAGAACAGGGTGAGCGAGTAAAGTTTAGGGCTGGAAATAAAGAACATAGTTTGTGGAAGTTGATGTTATCGTCAAAGAGTATGAAATTAGACATTTTTATGGATCTTAGCCAAGTTATGGTCGTCGTACTGATGAGATCAGAAGATGGGAGGGATCCAGTAAATTTATTTGTAGAGAAATTTCCCCTAAAACGCGATACTTACCGATAACTAAAACAATAAACTCGAATTGCTAACTGATAGAAGATATTTACAAACGAAATGAAACAGATAGATGGTGACGTGAAGAATTTGAGAGAGAGAGAAAGGGAGAGAGAGAGAGAGATGTGGGTTCAAGGGTAGGGGAAACTCAAAGTCAAATGGGGAAAATTGGTCAACAAATGTCAATGTAGCAAAGGGTAACCGGATAACCCCTTCACTTTGGCCAAAAGGACGTAATCGACCCGATAAAAACGACTTCATTGCCTCATAAAGCCATGAAAATAGTTTAGGGACTAAAAGGACTAACCCTAAATAGCTCATAGGGCATTTGTGTTATTTTCCCTTAAAATAACACACACCACAACTAGAAATTAAAGCACACACCATAGCTACAAATTAAAACACACAACATAACTAGAAATTAAAACACACAAATTACTAGAACTTAATTGACAACGAGCTTAAAGTGGACGTCATTTCGCACACCTCCTCACAGTTTGCCAAAACTCAACAATTCGGAAATGTTTGTCAGTTTTTACACGGTAACCTCAAGAGCATTCACTAACAAAGTATTTTCATTTTCACCATGTTCGATTTCATGCATCACTCTACGAAACACATTGTTAAACTAAATTGAAACTGCATTTGCATATATCCATTTGGAGAAGATTTTCTCTTTACTTCAAGGTAGAGTGGCTTGACGGTTGTATTCTTCGGCGACTCTCCCAAAAAGTAGTCGAAGAGAGGTTAATGCTGATTTGGTCTTCTGTTACATCAACCCATGAACGAGCCAGTATGATCTCTTCTTCGGGTGACCAAACACGAGTCATTTTTAGTGAGCAAGCTAAGGCCGGATAAGGACTTGAAGCTTGGAACGTAACCCCTCAAATCTTTGTGAAGACAATGGATTAGTGAATATATCTACAATCTGATCATCCGTGGAGAGCTCCAACAACTTGATGATACCGAACAGGATTCTCATAGAGAGGACTATCGGCGATGGAAAGCGGTGTACAAGTTGGAAGTGGAGTGCTGACAAGTTTAGCATCAGCAAGACAAGCATGCTGTAAAATGTCCAACACATACTGCTGTTGAGATAGGAAAATATTAGTGCCACAATATGCAACCGAAACACCAAGAAAGTAAGATAGAGCCCCAATGTTTTGAACAACAAAATTCTGACTGAGACTACGAATTATTTGATCAATAGTCCCTTGATTATTTCCTATTATAATGATATCATCAACATAAACCAACATATAAATCCGTGTACCCTTAGCCGATAGTATAAAAAGGGAGGGATCAGTGTGAGATCCTTTGAAGCCAACATGGTGGAGAGCTCGAGACAACCGATGAAACCAAGCTCGTGGAGCTTGTTTCAGCCCATACAAGGACTTGTGAAGCAAGAAAATATGATCAGGTTTATATGGGTCAACAAAACATGGAGGTTGGCGTAAATAGACAGTCTCGTTTAGGTCACCATGAAGAAAGGCGTTTTTAACATCCAACTAACATAAAGGCTATTGATTTGACATAGCCAGAGAGATATAACAACCCGAACAGTAGTGAACTTGATAACCGGGCTAAATGTTTCATGATAGTCAATCTCGGGTTGTTGATGAAACCCTTTGGCTACAAGGCGGGCCTTGTATCGTGTAACAACTCCGTTTTGATCATGTTTGATTTTGTAAACCCATTTATAGTCAACAACATTGATATTCGGTGCAAAAGGCACGAGTTTCCAAGTACCATTCTTAAGTAGTGTTGCATATTCATCAACAATAGCTTGTTGCCAATGTGGTTGTTTAACAACAACTGTGAAAGTCTATGGTTCCTGTTCAGGTGTAGTGGTTTTGTGAAAATCTGATGGTTCAAACCGGGTTGTTTGTTTGGGACTTTGACGGAGCGTAGCTGGTCTAACCCGGGTTGCAGAGGTGTCAGTTGGGGAATTGGTCGTTGGCAATGATGACAAAGCTATAGCCTGATCAGTTCAGGTCTATCTGCTGCGAGCATATGTGAAATGAAGGGGAAGAGCAGCAGCAGTTGGTGGCACTGGCGAAGGAGGTAATGTAATAGCTGGTGGGGTTTGTGGTGAGGAAGGTAATGTAGTAACTAGTGTTGGTGAGTCATCGTAAATAGTGGGAAGTGGGTAGGTGGAGATATAAGGGTCAAATGTGGAGAGTGTGGGCTTTATAGTGACATGTACCAAAAAAGGAAAGTGGTTTTCATGATAACGAACATGACAGGAGATGTATATCTTGTCCGTGGTTGGATCAAAACATCGATACCTATGATGAGAGGAGCTATACCTGAGAAAGACACAGGGGGTGGAGCGAAAATCCATCTTATGTTGGTTATAAGACCGAAGATGGGGAAAGCATTGACACCCAAAAACCTTTAAAAAGGAAAAATCAGGGGGTCGTGAAAAAATGGACTCAAAGGGTGAAGTATTAGAGGTGGTACGAGATGGCATTCGGTTGATAAGATAAACCGCAGTGTCAAAAGAAAAATGCCAACAGGTGTTTGGAACACCCGATTGAGCGAGAAGGGTCAGGCCAGTTTCAATGACATGTCGATGGCGTCTCTCAACCAGGCTGTTTTGTTCACTTGTATGAGGGCAAGACAACCTATGAATGATGCCAAGAGAGCTAAAAAACTGATTAAGTTTTCGAAACTCACCCCCCAGTCAGTTTGAACCGACTTAAGCTTGGTGCAAAACTGACGTTCAACAACCGCAACAAATTGTTTGAAAATCTCAAAAACATCAGATTTGCGTTTAAGAGGGAAGATCCACATAAAGCGAGAAAAATCATCAACACACAACAAGAAATAATTGTGACCGTTAGAAGAGGTCACAGGTGTCGGACCCCAGACATCACACACAATAATATCTAAAATTTGTTTGCTATTAAAATTGGAAGAAGATAAATGAAGCTTGGAAGATTTCCTAATATGACATGAATTACAAAAAGTATCAGACATTTTATGAGAAACGGGAAGACAATACTTAGAACACATAAAATTGAAAAGTTGTGGATGGGGGTACCCCAGCCATTGATGCCAAATGTCAAAAGGGGCTTTAAAAGTAGTAAGCGCAACTTTGGGAAGACTTTGAAGATATGGAAGATGGATAAAGTAAAGACCATTGTCACTTGGACCCGTGAGGAGGGTAGTTTTGGTAGTATTGTCCTTCACAACAAAAAAAGAAGAGTGAAATTCAAAGAAACATCATTGTCAAGACATAATTGTTGAACTAAAAGAAGATTCCTTTTAATTGTAGGAACATGAAGAATATTGGATAACGAAAAGGTTTTAGAAGGCGAATAATAACAAGCAGATCCAATATGTAAAATAGGTAAACATGTACCATTGTCGACGTGAAGAGAATCTTCACCAAAGTAAGGTGTGTGACTGTCAAGAGAAGACAGATCATGAGCGGCATGATTGTTGGAGTCCGTATCAGGAAGCCATGTAGTGGTTTGAGAGTGATTTTCAGCAAAGTTGGCAGTTGGTTGTTGACGCGGACGAATGGTGGTGGGGTCACGGTTAGGACATTGAGAGGGAATATGTCCAATTCCGCACCAGTTGCATGTACCATAGACTGTGTTTTGCGTAGAAGCCCAAGAGAATTGGTGATGAGGTCCCCCTGATGATTGAGAATAGTTACCCTTGCCACTACGATTGTTTGAGCCGCGACATCGAGAAGATGAAGACTGGTTGGTGTAGAATGATTGAGGTGATTTGGAAGGGGCTGGTTGAAGTTGAAGACCCAACTGTGACATGAGCTGTTGAAGAGCTTGTAATGTATCAGGAGGTGCAGATGAAGATGCAGTAGTGGAGCGGGGGTTTGTTGTGGTGGCAAAAGCTTGGACCGGTGTCACAGTGGGCATAATTTTCTTAACCATGAAGTCATGGTCAGCGAGGAGTCCATTAAGTTCTTGGAAGGAGGTGGGAGCTTGCCAAGAAAGAAGGGTGGACTTGAGTCCATTGTATTCCTCACGAAGACTAGAAATCACCAGCATGACGAGGTCTTTTTCTTTGACCGGTTCACCAATGTTGGCCAAGGCATTAGAGAATTCTTGAGCTCATATGAGATAGTTAGACGCTGTTTCGTTGGGTTTTGATGTGTGTGAAACGAACTAGTTTTAATCCTACTAACTTAGACACAAAGTAAACACACGAAAAGCAGCGAACCTATCGATTAGTAATATAGTTCAAGCAAGTAGGGTATCGAACACAGGGAACGGTAAACAATTAAAATAAATGCTAATATTATCTAAATAAAACAAGTTGATAAAAGGTTTTCTCTAGTTTTACAAGACTAGAAACTTACTAACTAATACTTAGATTAATTAACTAAAACTTAGATAAGCAAAGATTCAACTAAATTCAATAATGAAAGGAACTTCTGTTTAGTTCAACTCAATTGATCCTATGGTTGACATTATGGCAATAGTGCAATGGATTGATTTTTCTATTGGCTACCGATTCAGGTGATTAGATTCACGTTCGCTGCACTAATCCTTAGAGAACAAACTAACTCAAACAGTGGCCAGTTGTCTAATTTAATTCAATTCACTAGATTATTTATTCGGGTTAATTAAGACTTGTAATAGCTAACTAAATTGGTCCTTTAGTTAACCTCTCGTTGATGGTCATCACACAAGCTCACACATGAATTTACCTATTTTTCTATTAATTCTAGTTTCACAGTCGCTAATCCTAGTCATATAATAAAGTGGTCACATAAATTATATGAGGTAACAATTAAGAGATGTTTATGCAGCTTAATTATCTTCCTATTAACAGAAAAATAATTAT